AAAATGAATCACCTCCATTGATACACATATGTATATGCGAGCAAAGCACAAAAGCTAATCATTCTCATGACCCGCACCGATGAGGCGCACTCACGCGCGCTGCCCACGTTGTCGGAGCCCATGACAGGTGTGGCGGCGAGTGGCCAATGCCAATTGAGGCCAAGTCGCGCTACATGTGAGCACCAGTGGGAGTACATGAAACCGCCTCTCTCTCTCTCTCCCACTTCCCTATACCTCTGACATTGCTGCCATGGCTTTGCGTTACACATGCAGCATCAAAATGGCAGCACCGACTCATTTACTCCACACCTGTGTCACACAAGCACCAACTAACACCAACATACAATCTAATATCTAGCTCTTTACGTTAGCAGCGTACTCGCACTGCTTTTCATGTAATTGGTGGAAAATAGTGAATTTTATGCTTCATTTATTTGGCATTATATCTCTAAGTCTTGTTTCTTCTCATTTGCATTAGCAAATTTTTGCTCAAGTTTTATTTTTTCCTTAAATTACCATACACTTCTGTTTTTCTCGTTGTACTTAGCTTTCATTAGCGAGCATTTTTCTAATCAGAACTAATATTTTGGAGCATACTCTACATTGGCGGTGTAAACTTTTCTAAGAATAAATCTTAAATTGGCATTTAATTCAGCATTATCGTTAATATGAACTTACTTTAGTCAGCATTACTATAAATGTTGTAAATTTATTTAACAAAATGTCTTACATCCGCATTCAATTTTGCGATTTTTGAGATCAACCCAGTTGGAATTATTCGCAGTCAGTGCTGTTATTCAAGGGGCAGTCTTATATTTCATTCAATACAGCACGGATCAGATGTACTGTCCCTAATCTTGCCAGCGCCAATGTAAATAGAGCCGAATTGCTCAAATTCACAGCTTAACTTCTTATTCAATTTGGCATGACACCGATGAATTGAGCTTATTACCGTCAGTACTACCGTAAACAGAGCTAAACTATTCAAGTGCTAGCCCTAAATTCGCTCTTAATTCAACATGTTTTCGATGCAGTTTACGTAGTCTATCTACCATTACCGAAAACAAAGCTGACTTATTCACTTGCATATCTTCAATTTGCATTCAATTTTTCAGGCCCCCAATGAACTAAGATTAACCCAGTCAGCAGTACTGGAAATATATATGAATTATTCAAAGGCAGCGCCTCAAACAAAATTCCGGAAGTCGGAGTTAAGTGACACCAGCTGCATTAAAACATTCGTGCTCATTAATCGTCTCTCACCTCAGTGATGCATTCAAGGAAACACGACTTGTGCATTATGGTAATCTCTTATTAAGCAGATGCGTAGAGTAGGAGAGGAGAAATAGTGAACTGTATCTGTTAATGAATGTGACCTCAAACGGAAAAAGCTAGAATTCGTAGTTGCTGTAATGATATGGCAGTTCAACTTAGTAGGAAGTGAGGGTTTCGACGCTTGCACCATCTCAAGCAACAAATTGACCCACTGAAGGGGAACAGAATGACTGAACAAACGGGTGGATACAAATGTCAATTATGGGGGCTACTGAAGGAAAGAGAATGCATAGCATGATTTAATTTCACCTGCCTACTTTACTTTACGGATTATCGGTTTGCCAACACTGAACACTATTACGATTGTTTGCAGAGCGAACCGCTGAATGATCATTGGCATTGGGATTTCACCTCACTTCCATTCGAACTTTCTGCTAGAACCCTTGAATGCAGCTATTTCCACAAGACGGAAGTTGACCATTCGCCTGTGATGGTTTGGTGGCCACAAATCGGTGAGCTGAGGTGAACCTCCTTAAGTTATTTCCTGTTATCCCATCGAAGGCCTTGGAAAAACTAGCGGGAGAGGCTTTCACTGAACGAATCGAATTGGTAGCTATTCCAAAGGGTGAGTTCGTTATGTATGGGTAAGTTGATTCACGTTTAGCGACCTTTAGCCAATTAGTTAAAAACAGTCAAATAAAGGGTCATGGCATGCTAGGCACAAATTATTTGGACGTGCACATTTGGAAAAAGGCGCTCACCAACACGCAACACTTGAGGCTTAATAGAATGCTTTGTCTTCTTGCCTGCTTAAAACTTGTTAGTAGTAGAATGAGGGTAACAATACAAAACGGCTATAAAGGTAGTTTGTTCCGGTAGTGGAGTCCACAGTGAAACTAGTCCGGTGCCAAATTCAAGGATCGCAAGCCCCAATCCCTATCAAACACACACCAATTCTCATCTCCTCTTCACCAAACCCCTACTCTTACCCTATAAGACTCCGAATATGGGCAATAAGGCACAAGTATTTGGTCCACTTAAATTGTAGTAAGTCCGAACGCACACTCATACAATTGTACGTAGCCCTAAAAGAAGACGAAAATTGCAAGGAATATCGAAGATATCCTGAGGGGAAATAGGCTCAAGTCAAACAGAGTTGGTGGATGCTCTCCTCACTCCCACCACCTCGTCCACCTTTTCGTAAATACCACTTCAAGTGCCACCATTTTAAGCGTTGAATTTCTAGGCAACAGAGAAGATACGCAACTGCAACGCAGCGCTACATAGGGATCTAGGTCTAAT